AATTAATAATAATAATAATAATAATAATAATAATAATAAATTAAATTAATAAAAACAATCATCATCATCATAACAACAACAAGAATAATAATAATGAAGATACTAATAATCATCATCATCATCAGCACAGATCATAGAATTATAGATAATAATATAAATTATTATTATTATTCTATTATTGCATAATAATAATAATAATAATAATAATAATAAATTAATACATTTAAAAACAATAATAATCATTGCAACAACAACAATAATAATAATAAAATTATAGATAATAACAGATCTGTTCAAACTGATAAAAGAATAGCATAACAATAATAATAATGATTATTATTATTCAAAAATTCAAACTATAATAATAAAAATAATAATAGCAGTCACTGTGTTTCCACACCTGGGCAAAATTCCATGTTCTGGTTCCAATTTGCTTCTCAGTTCCGTAGTAAATTCTGCCCATGCTATTCAGGATATACTCTTTCCTTTCTGCTTCATTATCCAGATACACGGCATCATCTGAGGAAAGACAGATGAATGTTGTGTTACTTCCTTCATGCAAATGAGGAAAAAATGAGTGTGATTGTTCTTCATTGAGTCTGTACCTTCACACCAGGGGTTGAAGAGCAGGTAGACGTCGTTGGGGGTGCAGGGGAACAGCAGCTTGCCCTTCGGTGAGAAAGACTCCACGGTCACCTTGTAGCGGCCGATGGAGGCGGTGGGAAGAGTGTTGACCGCCAGCCGCACGCGTTTGTCTTTCTGCTCCACGATCTTCATCTCCCAGCGGCCGTCTTCCAGGACGTCCACTAACGGGACAGAGATGTGAATCCCAGTGCTACTGCTGAAGATGGGCTCTGTGTCAAAGACATGGAAACATACTGTCAGACGAACGCCGTCTTAATGATTTAGCTTTAATTGAATCATCCGTCGGTGACTCGGCTGGAGATCCATTAAGAAAGGAGACTCAAGGAGCAGCTGGATTAGACAGATTAGGTCACATAATCACTAGTCCTGGTCCAAACCCAAGCACTTCATGACTCACATCCATCACGAATGAATAGATTTATCTGTCAACGTTTCTTTTCCAAATAAAGTGCAAGATAATTGAACTAACCGTCAGAATGTCTGGGCATCTTTCTCTCTTTGTCACACACTGATTTGTCAATCAATGCTAACGTGCAGACTCCGGAGAAAAAGCATTGAATGAAAAACACGTTTCCGTAGCCACTGCATGTCTATGTTTTATGAGTTTCCACGAGATATCCAACAAAACTCAGTTTAAAAAATCCAGTTAAAATAAGATAAAATAATTTTAAATGCACATTGCCTGATTATGATTGTGGTTCTGATTATTTATTTATTTATTTTTAATGATTGTGTGATTTTAATACTGAATGCATCTGATATGGGCTGATTATTGATTTGAATTCAACTGATTTCATTTCTGATTCAAATTTAAATCTGAAGATTTTTAAGATTTTTAAGACATTAATTGTGTTTTTTTTGTCAGTTTTATTTTAGTATAATTGAGAAACTATTGTAATTTTTATAATAGTATCTTAATTTGATACTATTATAAAAGCAAACCTGAATAAGCTTTTATTTTTATTCGTTTTTATATATTTCATTTTTATTTTAGTTTAAGTTTTAGTCATTTTATCATTTTAATTATTTTTTTAAAATATGCGTATATAGTTTTTATTCATTTATATTTCAGTTTCAGTTTCAGTTATTTTATGACAGCAAGTTAAATGAGAAATGTTGCCTTAGCTATACTAGCTGAAATAAAATAAGTTTAATAAAAATTGTAAACATTTTATTTATTCCAGCTTATTATTCTATTTATTCATAAGTAGCCATGGTTTTTTATTTATTTATTTTTTTTTTAATGGTTTTAGTTTTAACTATAATACCTCATATTTTTATTTGGATTTTCTACTGATTCTGCTGATTTCATTCTGATTTAGGTTCTTCTGCTACTGATTTTAACAGTAATTCTGATTGTAGGTGTTTTTACAGCTATCTGAAGAGAAATGTTGCTCAACACATCCCTAAATCCG